ACCAAAGGTCAACACCTCAATCAAAGCTTCCAAAGGTCAACCTTGAGATTAAAAAAAAATCAAAAACAAAAAATCAAAAAATCAAAATCTCAAGGTTAAGACTATTTTTTCTCAAGGACCAAGCTACATTTCAGGGTTCAGAAAATTGCAGAAACTTCAATCAACCTCACGTCTATGGTCAACATTCAACAATCAACAATGGATACCTCTTGCTCATCATCAATGTGTAAGAGCAAATGCGCTGAAATTTCTGATAAGCTTCAGGTAAGCAAATGTGATTGTCATAACATTATAAAGGAGTTAAGAGACAGGTTAGACCACAACTACAAGAACCTTCTTACAAAACTTGCTAGATTTCCTCCTTGAGCGTGCAACTAGACAATGAAAAGGAAAGGCTTAAGACGCGAAATTCAGAAGCAGAGACGCTTACACAGAAGGTCGCTGAACTAACTAAGAAGTTGAGTGACACTGAGGTAGAACGAAATTGTGAAAAAGGCAAAAAGGATATGATGTTTGAACAAAGAAGTGCTCTTTATAGAAAAATCAAAGAATTAGAAGATTTAATTGCCAAGAGAGTGCAGTCTGAGCAAACTATTTTTCTAAATCAGAACAAGGACACTCGTTTTTACAATTCTAAAGAAGGTCTTGGCATCACAAACCCTCGTAATCTGAAAAAGATCAATTGCCGTCAGCTTTATGACATCAATTACATGGGTTTGGGACTGACCAAGTTGATGATGTTTGTCGGAGCAAAAGAAACCGCTGAAGAAGAAGAGGTAAAGCGATCAAACCCTTCTAAGGCTGAAATTCTCTTCAGTTATGCCTCTCTGAACAAAAGTTATGAAACAACCAAACCTGTTTTTTCATTTGATGAGGGTGTTAGTCCTTATCCTTCTGAGACGGAAGTTGTGTCAGACCCAGAACCCCCTTCAACCTCAGATTCAGGTGAAGAAGACCCTAATATCCCTTCACTAATCAGAAAATTTGAAAACTTACACATTTCTTTAGAAAATCAAAGAAAAAGTTTTGAAGAGAAAAGAAAACGTTTTGAAAGTGAGATGGAGAGGTTGTTGAGAGAATTGACCCTTTTAAGAGAAAGTTCCCAGTCTAGCACAGCTTCCTATGAAAATCAAAGGAAAAGTAGTTTTCAAAATGAAACAAAAAAATTTAAATCTGAAAGGGAAAGACTGTTAAGTGAAATCACCATTCTTAAAGAAAAATCCCAGTCTGACACAGCTCCCTCCTCATCAGACAATACTTGTTCTGAAAAGACTTCTAATATAATCAAAATCGTTGTTCTCAAAAAGTGTCCACTCACTCTGAGTCTCCTATCAAAGAAGGAAACAATGTAAGTAAGAGACCGGAGAGGAGAATGGAGTGGATACAAGAGAAGGGAAAAAGGCTAACAGAAAAACAAAAAACATTTTCAAAAATGAAGAAGACTTCCTCTAGTGCTTTATTTTATTCTAAGAATAAATGTAGCTCTGTCTCAAATGAACAATCTTGCAGTTATGGCTCAGACTTTTCCCCTAAGCTTAATGTTTCTAAGCCCTCTTCTGAACGCTCTTCTTCTGTGGATCATGTTGATGTTTCTAATTCTGGTTCCTTCTCTGATGATTCTAATGTGAATGATGTTTTTCATAACTGTCGAAAGAAGCCAAAATCTGATAAAGCGACTTTTGAGGGTGTGTATACCTTGCCATTTCTAAAGTATCCCCTCAAAGTCCGCTCACTTAAACATTTGAAAAGGCTTTCATAAGAAAATTTGTTTAAACCCTATTTGACAGAACAACCATTCACAACAGTTGAAGTCTCTCCCAATCGCACTTTTAAACAGAAATGGGTCCCAAAGTCAGAAGTTGTCAAAGATAAACCTCAAGATGCATCAAAGGCAACTTACTTAGGATCCAAAGTCAAACAAAAAATTCATGATTTCTTTTCAACTAATAAGGAAGGACCCATCTTGAGATGGGTACCCAAATGCATTTTAATCTGTTTTTGCAGGTCCGTCATGTGTGGTAAATGAACCGATTGCTCCACACGCATGGCAGGTATGAAGACGAGCTGTGAGCAATCAACTAGTGCACATTATGAAGGGGAATATTGGCGTGTATACTTCTCAATGAGATGAAAATCATCAAATGCACATCTCAACACCAACACACGCCAAGAACAAAACAATGAACAACAAATGCTTATTCTGAGGGTGAGTGTTTCTTTTTCACTCCTCCTGGTGCGTTACAATGAAGAAAGCACATATCAAGGGAGAGTTTTCTACTTTACTCCCGAGGTGACAAACAACATCAACACCTTGCACATTCTGAGGGGGAGTTACATTTTTCCTTCTCCTGGCGCCAATCAAGGATCAATACAAGACACATCTAAAGGTCACACTCCGTGGAAGAGAATGAGCAAATCAGCGAAAGTTCATCAAGTGTATCTCCAACAATTTTGGGTAACACTTGACAATGACACTAATGAGGATGACAATGAGATAGATGACGTGATGACCGCCACTATCAAGGACACTGAGATCACGATTACCAAAGAGCTGATGCAACAAGTGCTGCACTCCCAAACATTAAGGCTTCAACAGGTGCATCATCTACCTCTTGACTGTCTTCCACGAGATCGCTTTTATGAAGAATTATGACTACGTCTCGCTGATATGGGACAACATGCTTCAGATGATCAGAAAGAGGAAAAGGATCGATCAAGTCAAGCATCTATTATATTTGAGATGGTTATCAATGCTAGTGCGATGTTTCTTTAGAACAACTCCAACTATCCACCGACGACTATCTACTGAGAACGTCAACACTCCATCCCTCAAGTACATCCAAAAAGCGACTGAGGATCCAACACCGGTACCCCTCTTAAATACCGGTGTCTCCAATGCAGCTAGCTGATCCGAATGAACCGTCTGTCCAATGTTACTGCCAAAAGCATAACATTATACATTTATACTCCCTATGGCTCAGATAATCCCCCCTGAGCCTGCCCTAGGGAGTCAGCCGAGAGAAAGTGAGGGTCCTGAGAGTTCAACCCAGCCACAGAGACCAGTGGCAGTCCGGCCCCATGATGATCAGACTATGTCTGCTGAGGGCCACCCCCATGTTGATGAGGAGACTACCTATGACTCGTCTAGTGCAGCCAGACTACAAAACACTGACGATGAGGGTTCCAGGAGCAAGGCTAGAAAGAGCGACAACGAAAAGAGTGATGAGGACGACGATGATGAAGACGACAATGCATGGAAAGCCAAGAAAGCTCGTGTACAAAAATGTTGATTCAATATCAAGCTTTCTACGGCTGTAGATAAAGAGGTGTCTTACTTGAGAAAGAACACTCAAGGACAGATTATCAGTGAGACTCGCTCTAAGCAATATCATGATGTCCTCTCTTCATCACTCACTCCTACACAAAGAGTGCAAACATCAAGAAGCGTAGCTGAAGAAATAGCCTTGTTTGACGGCTATTCAGACCTAGATGTTACAAACCGGGCTAACCCTATAGGCACAGAGACTGATCTTTTCAGTCTCCGGGTAGAAGACGCAGAATCTTGCCAAAATGCGCATGTACAAGCCTCCCCTAGCCACTCTGCTGCCTCCCAACAGTAGTTTCGTTATCAGGGGATCTCATACCCACTTCTCTTCCCCCTTACGGAGTAGTGGAGGATGTACATAGTGGTCTATCGCCCTGGGCCACTACCCTTCCTTCTACCACGATGTGTCTAGGTGTCACTCTCCCAAAATTTTCTAATTTTTCTAGGGCACGTACACTCTTCACACCACCACACTCTACAGGTCCACTTTACCTGTCAACAACGATCGGAGATACTTCAATGATGATCGGAAGTCGTGCTACTCAACAGATAACTCAATCATTATATGCAGGCCACACACCGGTTATCTTTACCGATGTTGTGACAACGGTTACTACCCCTGAGACCGGAAACTCTAAACCTAACACAAGGTTTCTCTCAAGGATGCAGATTTTGAGGGGGAGTTTTCAAAATTCTCCACCCAAGCGCCAATCATCGTCAAAAGCATCCTACTGAGTGCTCAAATTGAGGGGGAGCACAGAGAGAAAATAACAAAGAGAAATGAGAGGTAAGTCCCAATGGCTTAGTGAACCCAACTAAGATTACCCAAGGGACAAAGCCAAGAGTGAGTAAGTAACTGAGTGAACACTATGAGAGTGAGGAAGCAGAAAGCTTAAGTGAGCAAGAGAACAATAATCACTGTCAAGTCTGCTACCTCTATTGCACTTTCAATTGAGAAAATTACTCCCGGTCACTCAAATACTCCGGACAATCCCCGTAGGTCCAGGACTGAATTTATTCAGATCCCAGGTAAAAGTCGCTGCATTTTGTCCAAACGGAGCATGCACAACCCTACCTAAGACCACTCACTTGTCTCCCAACAGATAGATGTTTAATCATATTTCACGGGGAACCTCATCTCATTACTATCTCCTTACGAGGCAAGTGATACTGACTACAGTGGCCTTAGCCCTATGCCACTGACATTCATTGATCACGTCGTGTCTAGTTATCTCACTCCCAAATGTTTTGAATTTTCTAAGACACAAACACTTTTTAAAGTCAGTTGCAGGTCTTCATGACCCGCGAGAACTTCCAAAGGGCTCATCTACTATGGATGTAGACCAATGATTGGAAGGAAGTCCTGTTGTTGCAACATAGAAATCATCAACATGTTCAGGCCATCGCTTTAGAGTTTATCTCTATGGTGATGATAACGGGTGTCTACGCGACCCCAAGGGGCTACAAGGTTTTCATTGCTGATCTTTATGATCATGCCATAACAACCAGAGTGACATCTACTTCAGATGCTTCACAATGACTGTTGGAAGTCATGTTAGAGCTTTATTGCTTCTATCATTTTACACATGCCACACATCGGTGTTTACATTGATGTTGTGATAACGGAACACTATGGTGTCTCCGGTTATTACCTTATCTTTTTTTTTTCTTTTAGTTTTTGTTTTCCAGAATAAAAGAATAAAAGCATGACGTCCCGATTCATCGGATCGTCATGAGGGTGAGAATGGTCCACATGATGTTTACTACCAACAAATCACTCTTGGATACATCTCTCCTCCATCACAAAAATCAACAACAGCTCTCTATTCTCTCAAATCATCAGAAATGCCAAGACAGCTTCAAATCAAATTGTCAGTTATCCTCAGAAGTTAACCATCTCTTTCCGTTGTGCGACCGACGAGATCTCCTCAAAAGCAATCTTTTTCTGCCGTGCCACCTACACAATGGAGGAGACAAAGGTCGGGTAATCAAATTTGAAGATGAATCCCATGCGCGCCTGGAAATCAACCGAACACATGCTCTAAAGGCGCCATCGGAATTCATTCAAGCTGATCAAGAGCAACTTCTAGAAGGCAAGGACTACAAGCAAGACTTTGAAGATTCCTCAAACCCCGACATCAAAGAACAAATTGCCAAGAAGACATCAAAGGGGAGATTGCAAGGATTTGTCCAAAAAAAACCTTCTCAAGAAACCAAGTTCAAAGACAAAGGAAGCTGAGCTGCACTGAAGTTCAAGAAAAAAGAGGAGCAACTGGACAAATCTTATCTATACTCTCCTCTACATTGCTGAATAAACACAAAGACAAAGATATCCGCGCTGCAATGCTGATTGAACATGATTGAACACCAAGGGGGAGATTGTTAGGAATATTTATGGTATCCAATCCTGATAAATATCTTTGTATTTGTGTAGCTATTTTGTGTAGATATTTTAGCCCATTGGGATCTTTGTAAGCTATAAATAGACTAGCTTTATTAGGAAACTAGTTTAGTAACGCGCGTTGCGCGTTTGTGGTAATGCCCAAGGCTATTGTAGGGCTATTAATTACTCGATTTAGTTTGAGTCAATATGAGTTATGATACAATATTTGAATACTTAGTTTGTTATGTATTGATAAGGAATCTTAATCAGTAAAGACAACACATTTAAACTTTAATCCAAGTTTGGCGATGTGAGTGTATGATTTTGCTGATAAAATAAGCACATTAAAAGACATTTAATTTAAACTTTAACTCAGAAAGTGAAAGCATTAAAAGATATAAAGTATGACGAACATATGAATATAAAATATGCAGGAAAATATTGATGAAATAAAGTATGACAACAAAATATGCAGGAAAGTTTTGATGAAATTTAAAAAGAAAAAAAGTATGAAGAACATATGGTAGTTCAAAGTCATTAAATTGATATTAGAATTCCATTTCGTAATTATAGAATGTAATGGAACAAAAACTAAAACCATTTAAAGCAGCAAGTTTGAAAATGATAAAAAAGTTTAAAACCTTTAATCTTAAGTGATGGATGTGAAAATGACAAAGGGTTAACCGTAATATATAATTAGAGTATATGGAATGGCATTTTAAGCTTAAACTCAAAGCAGCATAATGGTTTACACGTGCTAGACAAAGCAATGTTTTGTCCCATTGAAAAATACTCCGTAGCTAATTGTGTTTGGTTTAAAAGCAATCATTCTACAAAATTTAAAACTAAAAGTAAAACACGAGCATTTCAAACTAACAGAGTTTCTTAGGTAGTTATGCTTTAAGATTTTTATTATTCTAAATGCATAAGTTAGTCTTTCTTTTTTTAAGAAAAGGAAGCCATTGTTTGTTGGTTATTTTGAGAGAGAGCAGGGATGGTTGATTCCATGATATAAAACCTACCCACTTGGAAAGAAACAAAGCAAAATTATTGGAATAAGATGTATCAGCATCAAAATCACGATTTCTCCTGAACTAATGAACAAAAGATTATAGCTCGAAGTTAAATCTTAAGTACCATCACATTTGCTCAACTAAGTTTAAATTAAAATGGGGTAAATTGGGTAAGCAATATGCAATGTTATTACTAACCTGCATTTTTTCTTGCTGAAAAGTATAATGGTAGCCATCTCATGTCTGAAATGGGATTCCTCACCATTTCCTAAACACTGAATTTAACATAGTAGCAAACCAAAAGGAGGTGAAAATGAGAAGAAAAAACAGCCTCTAACTGTAAGTTAATGTGAGGTAGTTACCTAGAATACTCCACATTGGCATTTCAGCAAACACATAGCAATCAAAATACAGAAAGGGATACAAACAAATAAGCAAGGAATATAAACACAGGGCAATTAAATCAATCAAACAATACACAAGCAAAGAAGCAAGTGCAAGGTAAAGCAACTGTGCTAATTTAGAAATGAATTGGATTTAAATGTTAAATGAAATAAATAATTCATTAGAAGAGAAGAAAGAACTTACAAAACAATGTCAAGAATTTAAAAAAAAATGCTACATAGCAGGTGCCAGATATTTATAGATGAATAATAGAGGACTCCTGAGCATCCAAATAACAATTTCAAAATCATGAAAGCGGCTGCTTGACGGCCTTTCTTGAACGGAAAAGAAGAAAAGGGAAGGTCGCAGGTGAAATACGAAGTACTTCGTATAGGTGATGACCGAGAAATAGTCAAATATCCTCGCTTTAAGCCTAACGGCAAGTTTGACACCGTGAGCCTTTGCACCGTGACAACCGAAAACTCCTTCAAGTTGTATAACCTAATATGCATCCAGTACGATCGGCCAATGCAAAAAAAGACACGAACATTTTTCTTAGTACCATAATACCCCTAACAATATTCATGCTTATACAATTGTAGAGATGTGTAAAAGTGTGCTATTGGACCCAATCATTAAAAGAGCCCAATCATGCTTAGGCCACATCACACATTCCCTAGGCATATAAATATTGCCTTTAAGGGAATGTGTAAAGAGGCTTTTACAGATTATTCACGCATACATCTAGTCTAGTGAGAGAGAGCCGCAACTTTGTTTTCTCGATACTCTTTTTTTTTACCTCGGAAGGCAAACCACCCATCAGTGGAGTAAATGTCGAGGGTCATTTGCCGTTATTTTATTAAATATAGTGTTTGATACAGAAAGAGAGGGGGACCAGACCAAGACTTCTCCCAGAGGCAGACCTCCTTAATCCGAAAAAAAAATAAAAACAACAAATCAAGAGGAAATAAATAAACATTGGGGGGGCTAGACCTAACCCAAAGCAGTTTTATCACAACAATATCTAAAAGAAGGAATACCGAATAAATCTGAAAAATAGGCTTTACGGATGGGATCTGCTAACTCAGTGACCCGATAGAAAGTGTGGTGTTGGGCAGAGCCCTGGTCCGCCAGAAAATGGGCGACCCAATTGGCCTCCCTCAGAACACTTCCAAAATGAACCCCTTTCCTAATTGCCTTCAGTATAATATCCTGAAACGATTGTTTCCATCTTCCTGCTCCGCCCTCAGTAATATACTTGACTGCGACCGAAGCATCCATTTCCACCTCAAACTTTGAGTACCCAGCCTCCATCTCCCAATTCGTCGCATAAATAGCAGATTCGAGTTCAGCCTCTAAAGGCGACATGACCGAGAGAGGAAAAGAGATAGCAAAAACTAGTTCACATTTATGATTACTCAGGACAGCTCCACCAGTAGCACCTTGGGGTACGTATTTCGCATCAGTATTTAGTTTTAATACTTGTTTTGGCCTCTTCCATCTTACTACTTTGAAGTGCATCTCCTGAAGCTTATAGGTATTAGGGATCATTTTCTCCTCAAATAATATATTACCGATGGAATTTAACTTCAAATTCCCCAGACTAACCACCCAATTTTGGGTAAATTGTTTGATGTTAAAAATAAGTTGATCCGTAGCAGGCCTTCTGTCTCCTGAACCCCAGATAAGAGTAGAGTACTCTTTCCATATATGCCAACAGATAATTCCAAGCAGATTGTGCTTGAAAATATCAATGAGCTTTTTGCTCCCAGCTTTGAACCACCAATTCATGAAAACTTGTTTGATAGAGGTAATCAGGCCTAGCCCCCCTAAATTAGTTTCTTGTTCTTTGGAGAGGTTTTGGTCTGGTCCCCCTCTTGGTTGTATTCCGTCTCTTTTGATAATAAAACTCTGGCAAATGTCCCCTGGCATTTGCCCCACCGATTTTGGTGGTTGACCTTCCGGGGGAACAAAAAAAAAAGGAATTTCAAAAACTCCCATGAAGTAAAGCCAAATAGGATTAGTAATTCAGCACTCAAAGAAAAGGTGTATGACTGAGTCTTCATGAGCTCTGCACATAGGGGAAATAGAGGGGTTGATAACAGTCTGAAATCTATTCAGATTGTCAATAATTGGTATGATTTCTTTTAAAATCTTCCACTGAAGAAGTTTAATATGCAGGGGTTGTTTGGGATGCCATGCATGCCTGAAAGAGAAAGTGGCATATAGTTCATTTCTGATCATGTTATAAGCTGATTTCAGAGAGAAAATTCCATCATCTGCAGGTAACCACGTAAAACTTCCATCATCATTATGTTGGCACATTTCAGAAGCTATGGGATGAATATGACATATTCTTCTCCACACTGGAGAGTCGGTAACCTTGGCTGTCATATTAGAGCCCCTAGGATATCTGGCTTTGAGAAAATCAACCCAAAGAGATTTTTTAGTCTTCCATTTCCACCATAGTTTAATAGAGAAGGATCTTTCCAGATCGTGTAGTGATCTAATACCCAAACTCCCTTCCTCAACAGGTAGACAAAGGTTCTGCCATTTGATCCAATGATATTTAGGTTTATTATTGGCTGATCCCCAGAAAAAAGATGACATTTTCTTTTCTAATGTGTTAATGACTTTCTTCGGCAGGTTATCAGCAGCAAGAACATGAAGTGGAATAACGCTTAAAACATGTTTGATCAGCACTTATCTGCCCCCTTGAGATAAGTTCCTTTGCTTCCAAGGTGAAAGTTTCTTTTCAAATTGATTGATTAGATGTGAACAATAATTAAATCTATTAATGCCCTTGTGCAGGTTTACGCCAAGATATTTAATTGGAAGATCAGTCTTATCCATGCCCAGGATGTTATGGATGGCTCTCAGTCTAGCTCTAGCAAATTTCCCACACAAATAAGAACTCTTTGAAAAGTTTACCAACTGACCGGAAGCTGCTTGATAAGCATTAAGAAAATGCTTAAAATTTTGAAGTGATTTGGCCCCACCATTAAGAAAAACAAGTAGATCATTAGCAAAACCAAGGTGAGAAATAGGGTACCCAACATTACTCATCCAGTATAGATTAATAAGACCAGAATCAATATTCCACTTTAAACCTCTGGAGAAAGCTTCAGATGCCAGAATAAAGAGAAAGGGAGACAAGGGATCTCCCTGCTTAACCCATCTGGTAGGTGAAAGAAACCATAAGAAACTCCATTAACAAGAATAGATAGATATGTGGCTTTAAGATTACTCAAAATAAGTTGTGTGAAAGGGCCTGAAAACCCAAATTTGTTAAGAACCTGCCCAAGAAAACCCCAAGAAAGCCTATCAAAGGCTTTAGCCATATCTAGCTGTTCTACAATTCTCGATCATTGTTTTGTATTGAATCAAAGTTGT